TATAAACAGTGCCTTTTATATCGGTGAGTTATTTTGATGGAATGGTCGACAGCCGCTATTTAACTTTATAGCTAAAATTGGCTGATACCATGACGATAATATTGTGCATCCCTAAAAAATTTATCTTTATTTACCCCATTTAAACCTCAACACGACATTTCCAGAATTGATGTGTAGTGTATGAATTATTTGATTTTTTTTTTTGTTTCAGCCTTTTATTAAACTTTTTTTTAAACTGCGTTAACTAATTATATGCAAACATGCAAACAACTCTTAGCAGACTTTTTTTGTGTAATTTGATTATGAACATCTATAGCATCGGAACACGTGAACACACTGTTTAAAGTTCACTGCACATTTGACATAGAATACCAGTTCTCAGTAGGACTGTCAGGAAATAAACAATATATGTCCTGTTTGTAGTAGAGAGGCTTGTTAGCTGTAGATGAGCTGTCAAGCTTACCTGTACTTTGTTTCTAAGAAATAATCATAACTTTACTATTACTACTTAGGCATTTGGTGGTTTGTGCATTTATTTTATGTGAATAAGAAATTTCAGCTATGTTAACATTAACGTTTCATATGTATTACTTTGCATATATATATTTTATATGTTTAACTATTTACAAGATTTGGTGATGTTCATTAGTATGCAATCTTTTTTGTTTTTAGTTTATACACCTGTCAGTAAGTGAGTAAAGATACACAAATAAAACCGCTTTAAAAAGCTTATTTAATAAATGGCAAAAATGTGTGAAAACACAGTAAGGAATGACTTTTTGGTGGAAATTATTCTAACAAAAAACTTTTTTTTTTACAAAACTTTACTTTTCTTGTTGTGTTTAGAAGTCCAAACCCAGGTTCTTCAGAATCTGCAGCCAAAGAAAACAAATAAAATGTGATTTTACATTTTCACTGTCTGTAACTTGTGTTTTCAGCTTCATTGACTGAATAATGACAGCAGTTTTCTGTATTTCTACACATATAAATTACTTTTTTGTCTACTCATCTGAGTTGCTAAATAAAAGTTGATACACATCAATTTCTAAATTAATTTATTAGAACAAATGCTTTTAAAATCTGGATATATAAAAACACCATATATTTGCATAGAGACAACAATCTGTCCTGAATGAAAGTGGCATTCGTTCTCAAAACAAATCTTACCACATATTAAATATGTGTTTGTTACTGTTAACTTTAGACCCAAACCTGAGATGCTGATTTCATTGTCATATATGTTTCCTTTGTTAGTAGTCGAGTCCTCCCTGGAACCCTCCTGCTCCCCGTCCTGCAGCTCTATAGATCAGTGGACAGCCAGAAAACAACCGTCATAGTATATTCATTAAGACTGCAGTAAATAAACATTTCTTTTACAGCTGAGCTGAGCAGGTAAGCTAGAAAATATCAATAAATGTTACTGGTGCGCATCAGACACTGCTGCTTTCTCATCACCCTGACTTAAAACTGCTTTTTGATTAAATGTTCAGATGGGTTGCTCGCCACATTAACAGTATCTCCAGTAAAGGACAATTTATTTGGCCCTCCCACCACTTGGCCATCTGTTGACAAAAACACAGCGAGAGGGAGAGAGCGAGAGAGCGAGAGAGCGAGAGAGCGAGAGAGCGAGAGAGCGAGAGAGCGAGAGAGCGAGAGAGCCAATAAAAACATCCCTCTTAAACCAGACATGCAGCAATATAACAACAGCAGCCTCTCGTAAATTCCTTCATTGTATGGAAGATAAATATGGCTTCTTGATTGCGGGTTTTATGGGATGGAGAGAAACGGCTGCAGAATTAGATAATTAACCCTTCACAAGCACAGCTTTGAGCTATTATATTCTTTTACCCCATCATTAACTCAGAGATCATCTGCCTTGTTATTTACTTATTAATTAACCTCCCGACTCACAGAATAGACTGAATGTGCTCAGCAGCATATGAAATGGGTCATCAGAGAGCAGTCAGACACATTGACATTAGCATAAAGAACTGATTAAATATATTGACATGTGTAATGACTTTACCGTATGGGCGGAAACAAATCCAAGATTAACTTTAGTTCAAAATAGATCATTTTATTGTTGTTGTTGTTGTTGTTAATCACTCAGACTCAGATGCTGGGTGAGCTGAGCTGTAAACTGGACACGATTTCTGAGAATCGCAGGCCTCTTGCAGCTCCTGGCGAGAAGGAATCGACCTTTGAGAAGCTACAAGCTCGTCCCGGTAATGTTGACCACAAAATTTGGTCGCCATTGAGATGTACCAGTAGAACTATGAAGGCAGACAGAAATCAAGCAAAGTTGGCCTGAGCCAAAATATTGTTGTTGTCTGAATCTGACTTCCCCGCTTGGCATTGAATAGGCCAACTATCTCAAACTCTCCTGGATGGTATGCAAACAAGAAGCTCTGCCCCCCTCCCCCCACCCCCTCCTTTCCTGAGGACATCTGTGGACCTGTGTCAGAGCTGAGCTGGCTGATAGACACTGCACCATCTCTTATTAGGACTATGGAACTTTCTGGCAGCGTCCACAGACAACTCACCACCTTCATCAACCTCCTCATGCATGTAAGTATTATGATGTCATCAGTATGTTGCTCTTTCTATGCTGAGGTCTTTCTGTTTTTGCAACTTTCATATTGTGTCCCATCTAGGACACAGTGCGAGATATGATTTTTTTTTTTATACCTGCCCTCCCCATGTTTTTCTATTTTTCTTATCTAAACGAAAAGGGCAACGCCTCCCAAAGTCAGCGGCCTCAGACACCTCCGTCTCCCCATGTCTGTTTGTTTATGTTTTCTCGGACAGGCTGTACTGAAATTTAATTATGTTGTGCTTCTGTGCAATGACAATAAAGCTGATTATGATTCTGGTTATTGTTGATGTTTGAAAATGTCACCAGCCAGTACATCAACTGTGGAAAGGTTAGAGGTGTATACATATATAAAAACATACACAAAGACAAAACCAAAAAAAGTTCAAAACAAAACAACTGGACTTTATTTGTAGAGTGAGAGGTCAATATGCATGTGTCAATCTACATTATGCAAGCTTACAGAACACCACAGCTTTATAACTTGAATCCCACACTACTTGTTTCTTTGAATTGAGAAAGCTCCTCGGATGAGAAGCGAAACGTCTTCAGTAACAAATAAAGTCCAATTGTTTTGTTTTTAACTTTTTTTTTTTTTTTTGATTTACCTTGTCCTGGATGACTGAGAATCGTCATCAGTGTAAAGACAAATAAAGCAATTGTTCCCATCATATGAAACACACAATAAAGGTTGTTGACTTTTGATGTTTCATTTTCCTAATACTGTATATCCTAACTGGATCTGCAGGGGGTTAAGCATTTAACAGACATGTAAGAATAAATATGTCATTTTTTTTTCCTTGTCATAAACAACACAAATGTTTTTTGCTCATTATTTCCCCGAGTTCTGAGAAAGTCTTTTAGCTGGTGAGTGTTTTTGTGATTGACGTGGAGAGCGGGATGATGCTGTAGGTTAGAGTTGTGTGCATGATTTTGTTTTTTGAGGTTTTATTTGGAGAGCTGGAGCTTTTTCATAAAAAAAAAAAATATTGTTTTCTTCATATACTGTTTTTTTTTTTTCATTCAACCTTTATTTAGACAGGTTAATCCCTTTGAGCCTCGAGGACACATTTACAAGCGAGAGCTGTACATATACCGATGACATAGGCAGTAATGCATTCACATAATGGGAATATTTGTCACATTGATCCAAACATTTTCAATTTAAAATATGTGCTTTGGACGTGAACATATGAAGAATAACATTACGTCTGCTGTCACAAAAATATGTATTGTATAAATTACAGTTCTAGCTTAGGTTTAAAATACATATCTTTTTTAGCTTCAGGGGTTTTGAAAAAAGCAGCTGGTGACAGGATGACAACTTACACCTCTGGATTGATGATTTTCACAGAGATGTTTAAAACTATAAAATTAATACAACAGTGTGCAGATTATTGCCACGTGAACTGAATTGTATGTGAACTGACTGCTTCATCCTAAAGCTTATTCCAAAACTAGATGTTAATTCAAAATTGATAGGAAATGGTAGTCTACACCAGAAGAACTTCAGACTTTATGAAAATGTCAACATGTTTTTGCTGATTCTGTATCACATGATGATGGTCATTGTGTCAATAGTAAGTAACCTATCCAAGTTAACAGATCATTTTATTTTTTTCTATTGTGGCAGTTTAACTTA